TCTTTCTCTTTCTCTTTCCCTGTCTCTGTCCAGTGCTCAGTGCTCCTTCCCTCGCTTTCCTTCATTATCTTTCCCCTACCTTCTTCTTCCCCCTCCTCCCCTTGAATTAGGGTTTTTACTCTGCCATGAACCCTCCAAGCCAATCTCTTAATATATATGACTTTCGATCCATTATATTATTATGGCTCTCTCTGTATTCTTCCACAGCTTTCTTGAACTGCATCGAAGAGCAAGCTCTTGTGTTATATATACATGCATGCCAAATCGTCTTCTGGCGGTTCAATAAAGCTGTGGGAAGATACAGATAGGGTCAACGACCAACTTTCCAAGTTTGGATAATTATTAGATCCTGCTGTAGATTCTTCAAGCTTTGCCTGTAATCCTCGCATCTCGGTTTAGATCGTTCTCAGATTTGATGTCACAAAGCATTGACTTTTCTGTCAGAATTATACGATATATGCACCTTTATTATTTCTCAGATTCATGGCCATGAACTGACCATTTATACTTGTATATTTATACATACATACTGGTCTCTTCATCTTCTTCTGCACTAATCTCCATTTCACTGATGAACAGGTGGTGATACAGATACGAAGGGGCAAAAATTTGAATAATGGTTTTGTTTGTGTCTAATTCGTCTTCATTCTTTTTCCTCTTTTATGTGGGAAATGTTGGAGGGATGCGTATTTTGTTTTGAATGCACATGACAAACATGTTTTGCTATGCGTTGTATAGATGTATGATGTGATATATAGATTTGTTTATTTAATTTCTTATCTCTTTCTTTTTGAAATTGTGGTCTGTGTTGCATCAAGTTTTATCATTATATTGCTGTGCTTGTTGCTAGCTAGCTAGCTGTTTGATTCAAAACCTTTCTTTCCCTCATACTCTAACCTTTTCTTTTTGTTTTAAAGCGTCCCCCCCCCCCCATGTGTAGCCTCCATTGCAGGCAAGAGTTGGAATTAATAGCTGGATCAAATGTCTTCATTTGAGTCTTGTAAACACGAACATGTCTCGCTTAATTCTTTTTTAAAAACCCCCCCTCGATCTATCTGTTCTTCTTCTCTCTTGCTGTTAATTTCACTAGACAAACTCACAGGGGGTTCAGTAATTAAATATTCATTCCAGCCTGCCCAGATTCAGCTCACATTATTGTAGCTTTGTTCCTATTAATTAATCAATCATTCATCTTCCATATTCTCACTAGTCACATTAATTCACTGCTTCTATAAACTTATTCCTATAATTTACAGTAAGAAAGAGGCATTTTCTTCTGCAGATTTATCCCAGCAAAGAGCTGATCTGTATATAAATATGAAGATACCGTATGTTCATAAAATATCTGCAAGCCACAACAAAGAGTTTCTAAATTTTTTCTCTTTTTGTGAAGTGACATCGGTTTTTAATTTCAATTTTAGACGATGGACCACAGGGGTGTGACCATACTGTGACTTTTATCTCTCTTGTTTGAAGCTTCGTCCAATAACAGCTTAAAATGAAAGCCCTTTAAGCCAATTGGTTAGTGACGGCTAGAGTGTTAGGTGAAAGCTTTTATGGAAAAGAATAACCATAAGGAAAGCCCCTAACAATTTACTCAGCAAACTGTACTATGCTCTTTTTTCCGTCTCCATTAAAGAAACCTATATCTGCACACACACACACATACACACCCCAGAAAACAATGCATAGATCAGCAGCATCTCAGCTTCTAGATGAAAACTAGGGTTTTCTATCTTTTCCATTCTAAGTTATATAGTTTTTGTCAGATTCGAGAATTTGGCTAGATGATATGATGATCCACCTGCGAGTACTGTTTCTTTTCGTTATCAATTATTGCTACTATTTATTTATTTTCATTTAAACTAATTTATAAGATTCAAATTTGAGTCCCCAGTTGGCTCTCAAGCTAATGACAAGTATATGAATTAAAGCTATGAAGAAAAAAGATTGAATTGATGGATATATGAGAAAAGAAGCAATATACTCATGTCTATTTTGTCCATATATATGAAATTAATAATGAATAATTTAAAATCATGAATCATGAATTTGAATTAGACAGCTTGTTTTCTTCTGGTGAGGGTCATTAGGAACAGTAAACAATCGTTTTCGTGTTGAATAAAAAAGGGAGGGAACCAATAAATAAACCAAAAAAAAAACTCTCTTTTTCTTTTTGAAAAGATAATGCGAGGCAAAAGTCGTGTGTGACCAATGTCACTTTAATTGCAAGGATCAATATCCTAATGTAACCCACTAATCTAACATACAGGCTGATTTGTTCCTGATTTAATGGCTTTGTTATTTCTCTGTTTCTGACAAATACTTTTCAACTTATTGATTATGATGTTTCCGCCTTTCTTATCTTCTTCTCTTCCTCTGCTTGGTATCTGCATTTATTTCTCTTAGTTAAATATTTAAGGGATTGATGAACTGATAATGCGGGGTAAGGGATGAATACCTGTTTTGTAGTCAAAAGATGTTCTTTTGTCTGATTCTTAGTCAATAGTAAATATGAATATATATAGTAATTAATAACTTTCTATTTTCCTTGGAGAAAGATGAAAACTGCTAAAGTTAGATTTTCTTGTGCTTTGTGATGTGGGGAGGGTGGGAGATCGGTGAAAAGAGTTGAACAGAAGATAAATTAATTTATTGGGTTGATTAATAGACAATCCTCTCGATCTTTACATTGATGCGTACGTTGAGCTTCATTGGTTTTATGTAGAACAGAAAGTTCGGCATCGATTGGCTCATAATTCTGATCAACCTAGACAGCCACGAGCTCTCTAATCTATGCTATATTATGACAGTGATGAACACATTCGTCTCTGGTCAAGATAGTAATTCCACGAGATGTACTAAATTCAACCATACATTCCTCTCCCTCCCTCCCTCTCTCTCCCCACAAACACACACATGTTTCCAGCATTAATTTAATCAAATATATAACAAACATGATTGAATTTTATAACATGATGATGGTTTCAATATAAGGATTCATTTCTTTTCTTTGTTTTTTTTAAAGCACTCTTCTTATTGCTAATATTGGAGCTAGATAGGAGGTTAGATTGAGTTTTTAATATAAGTTTTCAATTAACTTTATCTTTGATATTTACAATTATTTTTGAAACTACTCATATCAATTACACATAAATTAAGTGGGTTTCCATCAAGAGGCAGTTTCAATGCAAATAATTATAGAAGGTATTTTATGAAAAATAACATTCATTTTTTACGAATAATTAAACTAATTTCTTTAATAATTCTTACAAATTATAAGAGGGACTATTGTTTTGGTTGAAATATTGTGTTTGCGTGGGGGCTTTAGTTTACTCTAATTATAATTGATCATTCATCTATAATTTGATATATATTATTCTAGAAAGGAAAAGAAAGAACCAATAGGAGTTGAATCCAGCGAAATGAATTAGTTTTCCATAATGCAGTAAACCACATTCCGAATTCCAATTCTTGCTATCAGAGGTGTTCATATTTAGTACTCGACAATACTTCGAATAGGATTATTTCAAAAAGAAAGATACCTCTGCATATTAAAAAAAAAACAAAAGAAAAAGAAAGAAAGAGAATCAGAAACATATATATACCGGTAAGGTAAGGAATAATATGATAGGCTAGCTAGATCCAATGGATATTTGGATTGGTTCCCTTTTAAAAAAAAAAAAAAGAATTCGTATATATAATTTAAGTGTTGGCTATACATTTGGTGAGATGACGGGTCAAGCGATGTATGGTTTTGGTTTTGTTGTTTGTTGAGGCACTTTCACATCAGAAAGGGATAAGGGTTACTATTTTCATATGGCGTCCTCTTTGTTCATCAGTTTTCTTACGTCAATACCATGCCCTACACTTCATGCTGCCCTTCCTGTCCCTTCTCTTTCATTCAACTGCCCTGCCCTTCGTCCATCCATACATTACATACATACATACATACAAACACTCATATATCTGAGTCATGATGTTTTCATCTGGGGGTTTCTCTGGTGAGTGTATATATCAGTACATGACCTGATGAATGTGAAGGTCGTTCACTGCAGTGTCCTTGGTTACTGCAGATTAATTGGTACTGAGCTGTGAAGTTTAAATGTTATATATATATATATGATCTATGGCTAGAAGGGATTTATATATATACATATATATGTATGTATATATCCATATGTAAATGAGCCATTTTGACACTGATCAGGACTTGAAGAAAAAGGAAGTGGGGTCGTCCGCTCATGCTCGGAATAGTAGAATCCACACACCCACACACACAGGTATATATTGTTTGGGATCATAATTAAGTTTTTATTTAACCTTATATGTATATATATTTGTGTATGCATACGTATGCTTGGTTGTTATTAGCTGTATAACATAAAATATGCCATTAAACGAACATACAACAAAAAGTTAAAGAAGCCAAGAAGGTACTACCTCCGGTCCTTAATATAAGACCTTGTTTGATTTTTATTTTGGTCCTAAATATTATACCCCAATCCACTTTGTTTTTCATATTTATGTTTTTTTTTTCCTGAAGTAGTCCTTCTAACAATAATAATTCTAATCAATATACTTGATTAGTAAGGATATTTTAGGAAAGATAATAAATATTTATTATAAATAACTAACTTAACTTCTTTCCTTAATCTCCTCAAATTAGTCAACTAGCTCTTATAATTAGGTTCGGAGGTAGTATTATAATTGAGTCCTACGTAGTAAAAACCTAAACCTTTTAAATGCGATTTAAATAAGATATCTATCTGATTGATTCTAACTGCATAGCTTATTATTAACTCACCTCAAATGACATGTTCCTTATAAAAATCATCATTCAAGATATCTATCTCTTTCTTAAATACTTTCCTTGCTGATTCGACTCAATTGATGATATATGAAATTAAAGTCCATTTTTTTCTGTGCATATAAACCCTATACGACCTTATAAATCTACCCTTATTAGGTTTCCTGCAGTAAAGAAGTACAGAGATATATATAATGAGTGACAACTTTAACTACATTGCATGAGAAACTGAGAAGCAGATATATACACAAGAGTTAATCACAAGTAGTAAACTGCATTTCTTCTTTCCCAAAAACAAAAGCTGGGATTCAAACTCTATGGTCTCAAAAAGCAACCAAAGAATAATTCCGTACTACGAAACTTGGCTCAGAATTCAGCTTCCTTTTTTTTTTGGGGGCCTCACTTCTTCTGCTGCAACATTATTCATACAATGTTGTGTCACAGTTCACGAACTGAGATTCATGTGATTCAGAATTGAGGTTTCGTGTGTCTGTGTTCAAACTTTCCCACTATTTCCCATCTGCTCAAAAAGAAAAGAACAACCTCTAAAAAGTTAGCCTAACATATGGCATGCTTCACTGTTACTGCATAATGCAAATAAGAACACACACGCAGGGTACTATTATAATAATAATCATATCTTTTAGGAAGCTCAGAAACGTGGCCATGCCTCTCTGTCGAGTGTCTGATTTTTAAACTGATTTTTGGTGGACCTACCCCCCTCTCTGCACAAGTTGTTGTGTTCCCTTTGGCTAATCCCTTCAAATTGTAAAAACTTTATGCTTTATCATTTGGTAAAGCTGCTATTTTGAGTTAATCTTATTTTCTCTATGTGTCTCTTTCTTCATCTATAATAGTTATAACTCTACCACATTGCAGGCCTTCTTTTGACTTCCACGGCAATACCAGTCCCTGATGAATCCTATACACACACACACACACACACACTACACACACATAAAAATCCATGTATGTACATTTGAATATAAGAGGCAAATGAATCTGTTAATAATGATATCAATATGTTAGACTAATATAGCATGATAATTAAGCGATTTAACCTAATTATTCATGGGGATAAAGAATTAATAATCAGGAAATGGCCTATGCAGAAAAATTGAAAGATCTAAATTAAGCAGAAAAAAAGTTGTCAAACAATATGTGTAGTTAGGAGCAAAGGGAATTATCAATATGGTGTAAAAATTGAGAAGAAGATTGAAAACCTACCTACAATGACAGCAAAGTATCATAAATTACAGTGATTTCAGCACCAACTTGGCTGTGTAGAGAGAAAGAGACAGGCAGGGCGCAGAGGGGGGGGGGGAGGGAGAAGGGTGAAAATGTGAGATGGGAAAATGATGTCAGGTGGGGAAGAAGAGGGAGTGGTTTTAAAAAAATGATGTCACATGGTGACAAAGGCTAACCTTTTTCACAGAAATGTAGGAAGAGAGATATATGGATTCGCTCTTCACTAAAAGGCCCAACACTAAGAAATTTATCATCGTTCATAAATGCCCTTTGGGAATCTTCTTTCTTCTTTCTCTCTGCACCATTATTATTAATTCATTCAAACACCAAATCTCTGTAACTTTTTCTTTTTCACCGCTTCATCAAATCTTTCAGTTTCTCTCGTTAACTTTTTACCCCACCAAAATTCTATACCCTGCATGGCTCAAATTAACGTGTTTCTTATTCTTCATCCTCAGTTGTACTAATTAACACAAAACTATTGGCTTTGAGCTTTCAGGGTCCAAACAGAAATGTGTTAAATCTGTACAAATTAACAACCATACCTTCGGTTTTCTCCTTCCCGTGGAAAACGAAAGATTTGAAATGAATTTTTCCGGTACACCGGATCCCTTTTTTCCTGCTCTTTCCTGAAAGAGAGAAAGAGACAGAGGAGAGAGAGAGAGAAAGAGAAAGAAAACGATTGGGTTTAGATCGATCTAACCAGAGAGAAATTAATTAAGACGCAAAATTCACAGTAGATGGGTTAAGAGAATTAATTACCGCATATGAGAGAATAATTAATCTGAGTCGACGAAAGGATAAGGATAACAAAAAGAGCAACTTGGGAATTCACCATACGCCGTCGTCGTGGTTCTTCGTCGGGAAATTCTGCAACTTTCTAGATCTTCTCACACGGTACAATAGATCCTAAACAAAGGAAAACTAAACAAGCCTGAATCGCCATGTTATCCCACAGCTTTCTTGAGCTTCTAGGGCTTCCAATTAACCAACCAAGACGCTCAAGAAGTTCAAGAAAGCTGTGGAAGAGCATGACCAGGACTCGAACAGAGAATTGACCCTCAGATCTGTCTCATGACATGCTGAGAAGGAGAAACAAGAAGAGAGGAAATGCAGAAAGAAGAACAGAGAACATAGCAAAGAAGAGAGGGCGAGAGATTATAAGGCCATGCCCAATTGCCCCTAGCTACACAAAGCTAGCTAGCTCTCTATCGAGCTCACATGGACCACCCTACCATTTATAAATCGATCTACCAGCTTTATAGAGAGAGAAGGCTGTGAAAGAAAGAGAGTATAATACTAATCTTAATTCTTTTTCCCCCCTTTTATTTAACCACCCCAAAGCCATATTAGGTTTAAACTAATCCATGTCAAGCCGGCTAACAACTTAGAACCACACAAGAGCAGCAAAGTTCTCTCATTGAACTAATCCATATCAAGCCGGTTAGATTCATTATATTAAAAAAACAGCAAATTAGCAAATGGAATTCATTCACTTAACAAGAGAATTCTATTGTTAATTCGCTGTTTTTTTTTTTTTTTTTTTGCAGTTAGAATTGTAAGAGGGGGCAAAATTCTCAGTATTATTACTAAAAGCTTGAATCCAAAGTGGGAGTAAAGTAAGGGAAATGAAGGTGTAAATTCATTTAATTTTGCCCAGAAAGAGTTTAAAAATTTACCGACAAATTGGCTTACTTTCCCGGTGAGTGCGCAGTGGGTCACATATTCATAACACACACAACACTCACAAACATGTCATATGCGTAAACAACAATAATCTTCCTATAAAAAGACAAATCAAAGGAACCAATGAAATTCAGCCGCTCTGTAATATTCGAGTCATCATCATCTTCTCTCCAAAATAAAAGGATCTCATGAATTTGAATTTTTTTTTTTAAAAAAAGAGGAAATTCTTCAAAGCTGGCTTGGGGCAGGCAGCTAGAGGAAAAAGATAAACATAAAGAGCTAAATTTTCATGTCGAAAAAAATAAAACCTTCCCCGTTCCCATCACATGCAGCCATGTGAGCAGCCACCCCTCACCTCCTTTTTATTTTATTAAAAAAAAAAGGAAAGAAATAAGGGAAAATTCCAGAAAAGGTCCCTCGAAGATATGAAATCTCAGATTGGGTCCTGAAATTTTGAAAATGACAGAAAGGGTCAGTGACCCAATCTGTCATTTGGCAAATCAAGAGGAATTGACAATTTTGCCCTCATTTGTATTCATTCACTACAATGATTTAAGAAATCACTATAAGGGTTTAAGCATTACCTAGATTCATGTAGCGAATAACTACTCGTTTTTTCATATTCAGGTGTCTTGTTATTAATTACAACTAATTTTGTAATCACTAGAACAATGTAAGTATTACCTAGATTCGTGTAGAGAATAACTACTCACTTTTTCATAGTCATGCACCTTATTATTAACTACAACTAATCTTGTAATCATTAACTACAACTAATCTTGTAATCACTAGAACAGTGTAAGCGTTACCTAGATTTGTGTAGAGAATAACTACTCACTTAGTCAGGGGCAAAATTGTCAACTGGTTTTAATTTCACAAATGACAGATTGGATCACTGACCCTTTCTGTTATTTTCGAAATTCCAAGACCAAATCTGGGATTTCATATATTCGAGGGACCTTTTCTGGAATTTTCCCAAGAAATAAAGGTATGGGTTGTTTTATGGTCCCCAATCCTTGTATCTACACACATATTATTAATTAATGCATGGATGAAGTTAAACTATAATTCTAAGTTATCATCAATCATTTTGCTGTAATTTTCAGGACCAGTTAAACAGTGAAGAGCCTTATAAATTACTATACACCTCCTGTACTTTATACTTAACTAATATGAGTATATTATAAAAATTAGATAAATTAATTAATTATAATAAATAGAATATGATCTTCTTATTAAAATATCTATGTACATAAGTGTTGACTAAATGACTGGGTTAAAACGATGATAATAAACCCAATAAAATCTCATTAAGAAAGATTCAATATGTTTGCAGGAGAAACAGCAATAATAAACCCTTTCAAGAGTGATTAGCCCTAAAACTATTAAAGACTCCCGAGAGAGGCCCAAGTTAACCTCATTCAGCATGGTGGGGACTCCCCATCCCATAACTCCTTATACATGAAGTGAATGGCTCTTTATATAGATTACAGCCTCGCAGCAGGTGAGTAAGAAATAACTAATTAACTCTACTCAATAACTAGTATTCTAATTAACATTAACATTAATTTATATATCAGTTTATAAATTAAATAAATTAATTTTAAAAAATGATGAATATAAAAAACAAAATACATTGAAATTTTATATTTAATATCAAATTTATTACTCTCAACCGGTTCTTATATTAAGGATTGGAGGGAGTAATACATAGACAGGTAGACACTAATGTATGTGCACACGTGGTTTACCCTCTCATTAGAGAAGAAGGGATAAAAAAGAAACAGAAGAAATATGATGAAGAAGGTGGGCAGATATGTATATATAAAGTGACTTTCTAAATTTCCACTTCTATTAGTATATATGTATGCTTGAGGGCCTTTTCCAGCTATGTGTGCTTCACATCTGTAACTGGCTACTTACAGAAATCAACATTGTACTGCTCAATGAAGTGGTTGAGGTATTAATGCCAGATGTTTGCTCAAAATTAAAAAGAAAATGTGCCCACCTTTATCTGCCCCTTTTCCTCCTTTAGCTACCTGCATAAAAATATCCCAATTAATAAACTTTGACGCTGTTTGATTATATATATGTATATATAGTGAATATCGAAATCTATCATAAATAAAAATTGCTTTGATGATCCATAAACCAAACTTATTTTTCAACTGGATCTGACCGATTTTTATCAATGGTAACCAAGACTATTAATTATTCAATTGTCTTGGTTAAAGATAAACTACAAAGTCAAGTCACGCGTAAAGAAAACAAAAGAAGTGATTCGCTCCACCTAATCTCAAATATAAGTAATTTCATTGAAGGTCTAAGGATCCAAAAAATAAGTTCACCTCTCCGTCATTAAATACTTATTTTTCACATAATATCTCTAAGTCAAAATTTAAAATATTGGAGTCAACACATAAAGAGGGTGAAGTGTAATAAACAATAATTAAAATTAGATTAATTAGTTACCAAGAAAAAGGTTGAAAAAAAATTAAATATAATTTAGAACAGAGTGTACGAGAAAAAATAAATTTTGACTACTTTTTATGACACGTGTGAGGTAGGTAATAATTGTAACTTATATATGAAATCGAATATGGTAGTTTTTAACTAGTAGGATTAAAATTTCGATTAGATGTCGAATTAACAGTTAAGTATTTTGGGTGATGGGTTTTTTAAGTAGTTACTAGTAAATATGAAGGCAAGCTGTAAAAAGGTGAGAGGCTCTCTTAAAGCAACCATAATTAATGAACACGGCAGTATTTTCTCAAAGGAAGCTATGTGGATATGGAGCTGATTATTAATTTGTAAGTTATAGAGAAAGACTTCGTACAAAACAAAAATTACTGTTGGAATGTGATATTTGGATGAATTGAAGCAGGATTTCCACATCGAAAACATATTTCCCACTATGTTACAATATATAATTATAGGTATACACAAGGGCCTTAATGACTTAACCATTTGTTTTTAGTTGTGGTGAAACAGTTGGAGGGTACCTTATAGTAAGAACAGAGTAATAATTTGATTATGGTTCGGATAAGCTTCCTGGAAATTGCAAGAATTTTCTGGGCTTAATCAAACATGTATTATGGGCACATTAGCCCCTAAGTAGTACTACCCACCTTCTGGTATAAAAACTGAAAGAAGAAAATATAATTGCGCATGGAGATGGAGTTGATCATAATAACATCTTATAACCATGTTCTTTTCAACATTTTTTTCATTTTCCTATAAATCTATTATATACAGTTAAGTTTTATGTGAAATTTAACGACCTGACATAGGACATAAATGAATTTTCTTTTTATAAAACATCAAATTTATTCAGATCCAAATAAAAGAATTGCATAAAATTAAAAAGCCATCCAGTCATATTCGATCAATTTGAGCAAAGTTCAAATAAACTAAAGAGGAAAGCCCAACAAAATAGATATAAAACAGCAAAACATATCAACAATAATAACAATCGAATATGATTGCCTCTAATAAGGGATACCTATGCTTTAGCAAAAAAATAATAATAATGGAAAGAGCTAACATGATGAGAACACAAAAAAAAAAAAGAAGAAGCAACATTGCAAAAACTAAAGTAGGCTTGGAATCTGATTTTAGTCCTCAAATCTCGCCAATAGATCTGAGACAACCCAAAATTTAAGTTTCTCGTTACACCAATTACTTCTCTTCTATGCATGGATGCTCAACAGTATCCATCTTTTTTTTTTTTTGAAGCCGCATCATAAAAAGAATAATAAAATGAATGGGGGAGATCTGATGATGGGATACAGCATATATGTATCTATATATATCCACGCAACTTTGTAGGCAACAAAGGATTAGTTGGATGGATAGCAAAAGATATTATATCATCACACAGAGACACACACGCACAATATTATTGATAAATAAATATTAATAAAAATTTCCACCAAAAAAATATTAATAAAAATTAAAATATATAAAGAGCATGTGCAAACTTCGGAAGTATATATATGTCACTCCTGTGGACCTATCAACACTACCTGCTGCTGCTGGTGGGTTGTGCCTTTTGGGTCCCCCTACCCCATCATTTCCATATCATCCTTTCTTATGTCATTTATATAGCCTATTTTCAATTATATTTATTTTTTCATTTCAAACTGATCACATATATTAACAAATAGATATATTTTTGGGTTAATATCATTGTTAATCCTTACAATTTCATTTAATTTCCGTTTTGATCCCTGTAGTTTTGTAGAAACTTGATCTGAGTTTAGCCATAGGAATAAAATCAACAATTTAAAATTATAGGGATCAAAATCAAAATTTGATCAAACCATAAGAACAAATAATAATAATGATACTAACCCTATTGAATGAATGAAAGTGAGGGAGGTCCACAGGAAGTGTCACCAGTTATATCAGTTTGATATTCAGTTTGTTTTCATTTGTAGTGTACGGAGCAAGTGGGCTGGCTTCAGCTTCGCACTTTAACTTTCACTCCTCAGCTTTCTATCCCCTGCCTGCCGCCCCTACCTTCATTTGTATATATTCTTGTCACCGTATCGGTAATTTTCTAACTAATTATAACCATTTCCCTTAATATTTAATTAG